AATGTAATAAATAACACACTACAGTTAAAATGATAGTACGTTATTATGTTTACTTTACTATGTTAGTCAACACATCAAAATAAGAGTGCACTTCTTTCAAGCATGACAAAAGATTAATAAAACATAACTAAACATTTTAAAGTCAAACCTTTAATGTGACATTTTTACACAGTGCACGTTTTAGTACTTAAGTGTCAGTTATGTTTAATACACTTAAGTGGCTTTTTATTTCATTAATTTCATATTATACGCAAGTACAACTGCTTTAAAAATATATACTTTGACGATTTGAAACACACTACAAGTGCACATTCAATACAATTCAGTGCACTTCTTTTTCGCAAGGGATATAAGGTATAGATCTTTTTTTTTCTGGAAAATAAGACAGTCATACTGATTGACAATGTTTTGCAGTGCATGTTTTCCTTCCGCTCCAGTATGTTTAGCTCAGCTGCACTCTGGATCATGATTTATTTTCACCATCTTATTATAGCAGTGTATCTGCACAGTGTCTGCAGTGTGTGTGACTGTTTATTTGCCATTTCTCTGTGACATGTAAAGACACTTGTCTATATCAGCTTGACCTGTCTGTGTTAGCGGATCTTTGCGTATGGTGTGTGGAGTGTGTGAGCGTCACACCATGCCGTTCTCCTGTCGCGGTTTGTGTGCGCTGCTGCTGCTGCTGATCTGGGGACTGTGCAGAGAGGGCGCCAGAGTGCACAGAAACCCAGCCAGCAGCGTCAGACCCAGACCGCCCCACGCACTGAACATGGACCAGCCGTACCCGTGACTGATGTCCTCCGGCAGGCCGTACAGGTAGCGCGGATACCGCGAGAGCTCGAAGTTAATGCCAGCCACACATGTGCACAAGGAAATGATGCAGCAGGTGCCTGTGAAACACAATCACAAACAAAACAACACGGTGAGTTTATAACAACACAGCAAGAACTCAAATGAGAAGAAAATGGAAGGTCAAGATTGTGGGATACAGTATTCCCCACGTGTATTCTGTACATACAGTAACACTGCATACTGTGTACAGTACTACACTTCTAGTAAGAATAGTATGCATTACAAACTTTTTCAAGGCAATATGCTATAAAATAATATGCGATATGCAGTTCCAAATATTTTATTTTTTCTTGTCTCAGTAATAAGCTGCCATCTAGTGCTCACTTGTCTCACCTCCCATCAGGAAGAGCAGTCCAGCTACATACTGCATCAGCTCATTGTGTTTCCAGCAGCCCAGCACACCAACGATCCAGCCAAACAGAATGATGGCCACAGCCATACCGATGAAACCTGCCGTCATCCGCTGCAAATCTGCAGGAGAAAACAGAGCGCTGAAGGATCGCTTGTGCACTTTATTGCAATGAATGTGCACTTGTAGTGTACTTCAAATCTTTTTTAAAAAAAGTACTTTCAGATAATATTAATGAAAAAACAGTCTGTTTCTTAACACACTTAAGTCGACTTTTAAAAAGTGCACTTTGTAATAAATGGCAAATTTTTAATTTTAAAGTACATTTTAAATCAATCTTTTTTTGTGCTTTAAAAAAGTGCACTTATTTTGATACTAACATACTCAAGCATATGTGAAGCATGTAACGTAAACATGATTAATAACTGTAGTGTGTTAGTCAATATCACATTTAACATTAGTATATTCACTAAACTGAAACTTCATCATCACAAATGTGTAACTACAAATATATTTAAATACATACCACACTTTTTTCAATAGAAATTACATTAAAGTATGTTTTAATAGTATATTTTTTTGCATTTGGTAGTAGACTTTTACCCATATTTCAAAGACAACATAAGTAATTATGAAATTATAAATAAAGATGCACTTAAACCTACTTAAGTGACTCAAGAAAGCAGTGTTAAGTTCAACTAACTGCATTTCGTATCAATTTAATTTAATACATTTTCATTTCATTAACATGCAATTAAGTGTCCTAAACATTCAGTATAGTCACACCTATAAGCATATTCTTTTAAAGTGTATTATTTCCGTAATAAGTACTGTTTTCAAAAAATATTCGGAGCCACTTTACTATGTACTAACATTGAAATTAATCAATAGATACATACTATACTACAACTTATTATGTACATACATGTTTTTACAATGAGCCAATATTATATACATATGTATACACACACACACACACACACACACACACATGCATATTGATACATCTGTAAATAATTTCTGTAGCTACATCTATAATTACACTGTTGACCCAAACCATCCCGCCAAACACGTCGCTAACTGTATTCCACCTCACTAGCAATTTTGCAATTCAACATGAACACAATAGGTTCACTGTGTGTAACAATCTTTTATTGGTGTAAGTACATATTAGTTAAAGACACCCTAATATTAAGTGGGAACAAATATTCTAAATATTCACTCAATGGTTCCAAACACTTGATGTCTTAATGCTGAACATCTGTTTATTACTGTTAAAATGCTTTGAAATAATCTGTATTGTATAAATCACTATAACTAAATGTGACTTGGCTTGAATTCATGGCTTTAAAACTTCACTTAAAACTTAAAACTATTTAACATCTTCCAGCTTTTGAAGCTAATTTAAACTTTCTGGCCAGGCTTTCTAAAACCAACATGAAAGTTTGAATCTAGTTTGTGTTACAATGCAAAAATACAATTCAGACATTCAATAAACTGAAATAATGTGCAGTAATGTCTAGTGCATGAAACCAACTTCCTCTGCAATAACTAGTTTAGTGTATTCATTGTGATATTTATCCATCATTGCTTGAATAAATCATATTTGTTGTTTTAGATTTACTACAATTCAGGTATTGTCTCTTGCGCTATAAAATTAATATATGTATTTTTATTTAACTTTTCCTCATTGCTCTGCATCTTAGACTTTATGTCATAATATAATCTGTCACATATTATGTCAGTCAATTGTTTGATTTATTTATTTTAAAAAATGTAGTTAAATCGTTAATTCAATAAAACGCTTTCAGTTTAGGTTTTGCAGTCACATTATAGCTAATACGTATGTTAAATAAGAAGCGTTCAGTGTTTTTGGATGCATTTCAAGATTGTAATATCATATGTGTTCTGGAAGGCTTGATAAATGGCCATCAAAGTCAAAACCAGGTGCTAATTTAGAGAGACAATTCTGACTGATTTTCTGCACTGATATTGAGAGATGGATTTAAACATGGTAAAACGTGTTAAA